TGCTGCTTACAACCTGATTGGCTCGTGGTTGACCCTCTGGCTCTTTTGCCGTTGGGTCCTTTGCTGGGCTTCAGCCGGTGAAGCATGGAGATGGTGCCAGGCTACGCATTCACTGAAACTGCGGAGAAGATTTGCAAGCAGGCGCTTCCAGCTGCGCCGGTCTATGAGGAAATTGTTCGTAGGCAACTAGCCTGAGGGATTTCCAAATAAGCTTATTAGGAAGGTCAATCCCGCTTTTCTTAGATGTAGCCCCAAACGGCGAAATTGGCATGTTTTCGGCCTGTTCCCGTGAGTGTGGCCTTGCGTCGTTGGAAGGTGGTCGGAAGGTGGTCGGAGAGTGGTCGGAAGGCGGTCGGAAATTGGTCAGCGGTGGTCTTTTGGAAGTTGCAGCCTGGTTCTAAAGTTGTGGCGCTGTTCGAGCTTCACGTGTTTCCATATTTGGGGCATGCAATACAATTCCCCACGTCAATTGCTTTTTAAGCACGGTTTATAGCCTATATGATCAGCAGGCCGCCCGGAAAAGCCATTTGGAAATCCAACAAACTAGTCCGCTGCCTTTTTTAGAACCGGAAGCCAACTCGCCTTTTTTTCCCCTAAAAGGAGACTCCTCTGAAAATGATGATTTTTGGGGGGCTGCAGGAGAGTGAAACTTAGCCAGGCAGCCTCCTTGAGGCTTTGATGGACACCTAGTGTACCAAGATGATGCCGAAATCGGATTGATTTGTACTTGTCTGCCTCGCCGTATACAGAGGCACTTGTCTAAATACATTGACGCACAACTCAGCCCTGCTTGACTTCGTCTCGAAGGGTCCCCACAGACCATGGTGAGGCATCGTGTTCGAGCGCGTACGCGTGGCAAGCTTGAGGCATCTGGCATGAGCATCTCGTGTTTTTATTTGTTTTTGTCTACCCTGGCACAAGCAGGCAAAAGCTTGAATGAAGGCACCACGAGTCCTTCCACTGTGCAAGAATGCACGGCCCGAATATGAGGAAAACATACTTTGGTGACTCTTTGTCTGAAGTTCACATACATATTATACGTATATATATATATATGTCGATGTGTTCTACTATACGTCTGTATACCTATGTACATATATGTCTATGTATATGTCTATGTATATGTATGCATGCATGCATGCAATGTATGTAATGTATGTATGTATGTATGTATGTATGTATGTATGTATGTATGTATGTATGTATGTATGTATGTATGTATGCAATGTATGTAATGTATGTAATGTATGTAATGTATGTATGTATGTATGTATGTATGTATGTATGTATGTATGTATGTATGTATGTATGTATGTATGTATGTATGTATGTATGTATGTATGTATGTATG